TGCAGTGATAATCTACACTCCCATTTTTATTGCAGCATTATTCATAATAGCCAACATTCGGAATCAACCTAAGTGTCCATGAATGGATGAATGGATGAAGAAACTGTGGTTCGTATGTGCAATGGAATATTACATAGCCACAAAAAGAACAAAATACTACCATTTTCAACAAAAGGTTCTCTTTTACTACATTATTCTCTATTATGCAGCCTGCTGCTTATACCTTTCATTGTACTTTATAACAACCTGCAAATATTTTGTTAATTTGATTAGTCATTTTTATGTCTTCCTCACTAGAGTCTAAGCTTCACTATCACTTAGTGCTCAGTACATTGTAAATGTTGAGTAAATACTATTGCATAAGAAAATGAAGGGAAGATTGAACAGGAAGATTGAACTAAGAATGGAAGATTGAACTGAGCAGGGGCTTCTGTCTGTCTCCTAGGTCCTCTGTATTTCACCAGTCACAAATCTGATCGTGTTATTGTCCTGCTTAAATGGTTTAATGGCTTCTCATTTTCTGTAATTGTCATTTACACACTCAGTGAAATTTTTATTTCAGATTTATGATTATGATGACAATAAGGGTTCAGAATCTTACATTTAAATTGAATCCATAGGAATAGATAGAATGAGCACCTAAGCCACACCTCCTGGCCCAATAAGTACAAAGCCTCAAGCCAATGTTGGTCAACTACCTGTAGTTTTAAATTCTTTTACCAGGCAGACAGGGAAGGGAAGAAGGTGCTGGACTATGAACCAGAGAATCTGGGTCCTGAATTTGGCTGGTTACTTGACTTCTCCAGTATATAGTTTCTTCATCTATACAATTAGGATATTGTACCAAATAATCTCCAAGGCTCCCTTCAGCTCTGTAAATCTATGATTCTCATGCACTAGACTGTATGTTCCAGGATTATTTTTGGAGCATCAAATGAAATAATATGTGGATTATGAAGTATAATCGGTACCCTCATTATGGAGCTAGTTACACTTGAACTTCAGAAGTTGTTGATGATAAAGCTCATATGTAGTTTCTCTGTATCATTTGAATTGTTTCTTTTTAGAAGTAGTTTCAGGTCCAATGAAAACAAGTAATGCTAGTAAATGGGATAAAGATAGAGGAGGGCATTACATCTGCCTACTACGAGCTAGGTGCTTTATGTATGTTACCCCTTAATACATGGATATCATTCCATTTTACACAGAAAAGCAGTGGCACCTGCCAAAGATTACATAGGTGGTAAGTGGCAGAATCCTTTGGAACATGGGTCTATCTGGCTCCAGTCTGCTAGTTCTGCCTGCAATCCATTCATACACTGATGCATCCAGGGCCAAATCTCTACCTTCAGTCAATTACATGAACTTGTTCACTTCTTCTCCAAGTAAAGGGACAAATGAGCAGCAGAAGGTGGCCTTAGGTAAAGGAAGTAGAATTTAAAACAGAACTCTTGATTACAACTTTACTTCAGTTCAGAAGTATCCTTGAATAACAGCTTGTTGGAGAGCATCCCTGGCCACTGCCATTGGGCCTCCTTCTTAATAGTCTGTTACCAAACAGACTATTAAGGTAAATCCTAGAGGTAAAAGGGCCTGGTGCTGCCCTAAGTAGGGCCTATTCCTTGTGGTCAGCATTCATCAGCCCTTGTAAGCTTCAGAGGAGATCACACAATGAAGGAAAACATCTAACTAATAATCAAAATCAACTCTCAATAAACATCATCAGAAAAATTTCCTTGCTTTCAGGTTTTTTTAATTTTATTTTTTAAAGAGACTCATTTAATAATTCAGGTCCTTTTCAAAATAAATCAAGGGAGGACCCTAGTCTACTCTATAAAGTAGAATTCAGTATATACAGGGGTGATCAAGCTGTATCATTTTTGGAGACTTGTGAGTCTTACAGGATAAGCATAAAGATGGACCTTCCAAAAGGCTGGTAGCCCATAATACTCCCCTTAGGGTGTACAGCATTATTATTTGTGCTTTAAGCTACAGAAACAGTCTTTTAAAAAGTCAACAAATGAATGTCATCAGGTATTTATAGACAAACACCTCCTAAGAATAACCTGTTCTTGCCAAGTTAAACAATAACCCAAACTCTTTGCTTTTAAATAATGGAAGGAAAGAATGAAAAACTCATACCTAGTTTTTTCTTCTTCTTCGTTTATGAGATCACTCTGGCATTTCTGTCAGAAGGAAGCTAAGAATATGATTTTTTTTATACTAATGTCTCAAGGTTTTTGAAACAGAATTAATTAAATTAAATTAATTATTTATTGTGATAAATAGTGCTTCTTATAAATAACTCCTTGAAAGGTGAAATTATTTTGCTTCAATAGTGCAAAACATGGTAATGGAATAGAGGTCTCCTATAGATTAAAATTATTCTTTATTTAATATACAACTGACAATACCTGGCATTTTAGTTATTCTTTCCACACACAAGACGGGGCAGTTTAATAATATTGGTCAAAATTATTGTTCTCGGTATAACACTTCTTTACTGGCTACTCCGAAACTTGCTAAGCTGTTGGATAACAAAGGGGAAAATATCACATCACAGGCGATATTTATCCATCCAGTGTGCAAAACAAGAAAATAGAACCCAGGCTTAGAATCCTCTAGTATTACTCAATCAAGGCAAATTATTTATTGTCTTCTGCCCAGGAGGTCCCATGGGACATGAAATATTGATTTAGGAATTTTCTGGGCATGAATGACTGTGTGTTGCAACTGTGTTCTTTTATATTACTTTTTGATATACGATACATTGTTTCTATGCATGTGGTGATGAGGCTGAATAACAAATTAAACCTGGTTATTTAATAAACATGAAATGTAAACATTAAACTCTTTTCATATTTACTAACTTAGGGACATAAAAGTTCACTCTGGCGTGCATCAATGTCTAGCTTCACCTATTCCTTCATCTCAGGAAGGAATGGCGTGGCTTCTGCTGCATCCCATAAGGCCTGATTCCAATCTTCCTGCAAGTGGGACTGGGAGAGCCTGCGTGTTCTTCAAGGTACACCTGGGGATTCTCAAAGCCAGGCCATTGGGTGAGGGCTCTTGGGGAGGAGCTAAATTTGGGCTAAGAGGGAGTTTGTGGTGTGAAGAGGAGCAGGAGCTGTTCATGACCTAAGCAGAAGACAGTCTGGAGCAACAGTGAAAAAAAAAAAAAGCCATTAAGTATGAAGGACAGCAACATGCAAAGTCATTTCATTAGCTGAAAATCCTTGCTCTGTACCATTCTACATGTCTATATAATACCCAATTTTGAAAGAGAGGGTCACACATTGATGCCTGGCATTAGTATTTGTTTGTTTGTTTGATCTACTCCCTCGGTACTTCCCAGGTAAGCAGCAGCAAAGCAGTTACTGGAGAAACTCTGGAGTCAGACTACCTGGGTTCTAAGCCAGCCTCCACTACTAAGTGTGATCTGAAGCAAATTTCCTGACCTTCCTCGGCTTCATCTCTAAAAAGAGGAAAGAGTAACTCCTTTGGGGAGAGCCTGCCTGAGAATGGAGACCACTCTTAGGATCATAGAGCCAGCAGATGGAAAGAGATGGAGAGACCATGGTTTGAGCTCTTGGTTTCACCTTGACTCATTGGACTGCCCTTTCCATCTTCTGATTTTATGAGGAAATCGATTCTGTCTTTGGTTTAAGTACAAGTCAGTTTGTATTGGATTTGCAGCCAAACTATACTGTCTAATATACACCTTCTTTAAATTGACTTGGTTACATGGTCCTCTTTGCCACCATTAACTTTCTACACATAGAAGACAATTGATACATATTTATTGAATGTATGGATGAGCTAAAATTTATTAAAACTCTCAAAACCTATTAATTTGATCTCCTGTGCATTATCATACTACCCTAGGCAATTCAAGTTCAATTTAAGTGTGGTCCACATAGGAGCAAATCCTTTTGTAGAGAACCACGTGTTGTGGCCCTGAGGATCTTGTTGGATGAACTGGATTGCTAAGAAAGCCGCTTGGAGAAACCAGAGATTTAGGGGGGAAGGCCTGAGTTCTTTTCAACATAACTAACTCCGTGGTCTGCTTAGTCCTCTAATCCCCCTGAGCACCATTCTTTATGCACAAAATGAGAAGAATAATATCTGCCTTACAGGGTGGCTGTTAAGCTCAAAGGAGCTTATTTATGTGAGAGCTAAGAATGATACAAAGGGTATTCATTGAAATTTTCTTAGATATCGCGATTTCAATTGGCGATGGTTACACACCTGCCAAATCATGAGCCTAAGGGTGTTTACTTTTTCTCCCCTGATGATATGCACAACGGCAGTTACATTTCAGAAGGGTATGTGTCAACACACGCGATCATATCTCGGTCTGGGATGTGACTGTTGGCAGAATACTCAGCGTCCTTTTCTGGCACGTTATCCCCAAGGTCCCCTTCAGCCCTGCTATCTCAGAGCTCCAGGGAGCAGCTGCAATGCTGTGCTGAAGGCAAGTTCCTAACAGGCCTTTGGCCATCCCTGCATCTCTGTACCTGCCAGCCACCGCTGCTCCTTGGGGTGTGTTTTTGGTGGGTGTGACCAGAAGCACCTGCTCCTGGGCTCTTTTTGAATCTTGCTCCAATCCCCTCATTTTAAGGGTGTAGCTCTGCAGTCTCCTAGCTAATCCCTGGTGTGTGCTTTATGAGATCCGGTTTCAACCCCCGTGGGTAGCCCTCGGGTCCCATTACAATTCACCATGGCTCCGGGTGTGTGCGAGCGAGAAGGAAAGAGCCAGGGAAAGACCGAGCGAGGGCCCGAGGCTCCCGGGCTCCAGTTACCCGCCCGCACCGCCGGCGCACCGCGGCACTGAGTGCGCGCGGGGCCGGGAGCGCCGCGGCCCCTTTAAGAGCCGGGCCCAGGCCGGCCCGGGCCGCGGGCGCCCAGAGCGCGGCGCGCCGCAGAGGAGTTGGAGCGGGCGCAAAAGTTTCCTCCCAACTCCGGCCCCGCGCGCCACCGCCGCCGCCGCCCACTCCAGCCCGGGGCCTGGGGCCGGCCCTGCCACCGCCGCCAGGGTCAGGGCAGGGCCAGGCCGGGCCGAGCCGGCAGTTTCGCTTTGGCGGGCGCGGAGCAGCCGCCTCGGCCGGGCCGGAGGAGGAGGAGGAGGAGCCGGGCCGCAGAGCCGCAGCGTCCCGGGCCGCCGGCCACCTGGGAGGTAGCCCTTCCCGCTGCCGCCCCCTCCCCGATTCCCACCGGCCGCAGCTGCCTGCCGGGGGGTAAGGGGCGCTGCAGCGAGCCCCCAGGCGTGAGGGGAGGGCGGGAAGAGGAGCCCGGGGTCTCCGGGCCCACCCGCGCCGCGCGTCCCCCGAGGGTGGGGGCTGCGCCTGCGGGGTCAGACACCTGTTCGGCCTGGCCCGGCGTGGTGGCCCGGGGCCAGGATGAAAGTGACCGTGTGCTTCGGCCGGACTGGCATCGTGGTGCCCTGCAAGGATGGCCAGCTGCGCGTCCGGGAGCTCACCCAGCAGGCGCTGCAGCGGTACCTGAAGACCCGGGAGAAGGTGAGCGCGGCGCAGCGGGTGCGCGGGCGGGGCGGGAGAAGGGGGGCGCGGCAGCCGGCGGGCTACTCGCGAGCGCCCTGAGGCCAAGGCACCTGCCAGGTGCCCGAGGACCCAGGGGCGACGCTCAGGGGGCGCAGAGCACAAGGAGACTGTTAGGCACTACCTGTGGCCACAACTTTCGTACCTTGCTAATATAAGTGCCCTAGGTGTCTGGGCGTTTGTGGGCCTCGCCACTCAGTGGTGGGTGGAATGGCAGTATTGAAATCACTTGGGGCTCGTTAGAAATGCACAATCTGGAGCCCTAATCCAAGCCCACTGACTCAGAACCTGCTCTTTAACAAGGTCCCAGGTGAATGGAATGCCCATCAAAGCTAGAGAAGCCCTGGTTTAGAACTTGTTTGAGGGAACGTCTTAAAAGGTGTTGCTCACCTCAGGTGTGATTTGTAACACGTTAAGGTCTGCCCCACTTCGGCTCCTGGGAATTATGAAGTTGGTGTAAGTAACACTTGGAAGTTACAACTGATGGGGCCTTTGGAGCTTCAGCTCTGCAAGCGGTTCTCTCTCGGTGACTTGGGCAGGAACTCAGGTGGGAGGATGCTCTTTGCTTACGCCAAGCAGCCTACACTGGGTGTTTTCAGTTTAATGCTGCACATTCTATGAGCATTTACTGTGTGGGGGCCAGGTCAGGTCCGGGGTGACTATTAAAATGGGAAAGATGGCCCCTAGCTCTGCCGCAGAAGTCAAGAACAAGTAAAAATTAAGTGACAATTTTTTAAAAATGTGCAATACATATTCAGAAAATTAATTGGACACTAGAAGTCATGTCAAGTACTTGGATAATATGTTCAACCTGTGACTTCCTCAATGAAACCTTCAAATGAAGGCATTGAAAAGCACCTTTTAGTTTTTTTAATCCTTATGTGGAACATTTTGTATGCCCCAAATCTTCCTCACATGGTATAAATTACAAACTCTTGTTTCTGAGGCCCATGATTCTCCTAATATTTATTCTCATACCCTGTGACTGTAGAATTAGTGGGTTGGCCAGTCTAGTGATGGAAAAATGTAATTTGTAATTTCTTTTAAAGTCTTATAAAAATACTGTGAATGTATGAAAGTGTCAAAGTAAGTTTGTGTCTTCCAAGTATATAGTTTAGGGATTTAAGAAAATACCTGCACCTTCTTTGCCTCCACTAAGAATTATTGTACAGAAAAAAATTTGACTCTGGGTAAATGTGTCTGTTGCTTTGAGTACTCAAGAACTGGAGAGTATGGTGAAAAGTCTATTAACATATTGGATGTAATCCCTGAAGTTGAACTCTTGACTGATGAAATTGAGCTAGAGTAGGGAAAAAAGTTAAAGTGGCATGTAAAGTTATATGAGAACCTACAATATTTTTTTTTTGGCCATTATTAGAATAGTGCTGTTTATATCGTGTAATTCAGTTAAAAGTTGTGATTTAAACAAATAACGAATTGTCTTTGAAATCCTTTTTCACTAACTTGTGAAAGTGGACAGAAGTTAATAGTAACATCACTCCAGACAAAGTATTGAAATAGATCTCATTCAAGGATTGTCTTACCGAGATGATTAATTTACTTTTTAACTCATTATTAAAAATAATTGCCCTTAAATCTTGTATATTTAGAAGTTTAGTACAGGAAGCTGTCCAAGTAAAAGACATAAGCTACAAGCCAGTAAATAAGATACAGAGAACTAACCAGCTGATGTTTAATGCACTGTAATTTGAGCTTAGAAGGTGTTAAAAAGCAATTGATATTCTGGGCTGGAAGCATAACTTATATCACAGAAGTCAAAGTACAATTGCATTGACTAGTTTACTATTGTTACCAGACATTATATTTTTCTGTATTTACATTTATGTATTAGTGAATGTGACATTCAAAGGTCACCAACTTATACATCCTCCCTCCCTTTTTTGCTTTGAAAATTTCAATTTAAGAAGTGGCAAGTGATGTTTTTCCCTCTGCCCAAGTATTCTTTTCCCACAGTTTCGTTTTAAATAATACTGTAATCATAACAAGGCCTAACTAATATTAAATGGTATTCCTAATAGTAATAAAATGTCAAGAAATTCTGACAAATTTTATGCTTTTATGCATAAATTGATTTTTTTTAAAATGGGAAAAGACCAGAAATGTCAAAATTCAATCTGAAAAACAATTTGTAAGAAATTCACTTTCTATAAATTAGCAGAAGAGATTTAAAAGGCTTGCTAAATCTGGATGGTAAGGTTTTAAGCCCTGCATTCAATAATAACAATAATAGCAACTAACATGTATTGTGCTTACTCTGTGAAGGCACTATTTTTGAAGCTTTAAATATATTATGACTTGTAATTACACAACCCCAGGGTGTAGGTACTATTATTATCCCCATTTTACAGTTTGGGGGGGGTGGTGGAAAGGGACACAGAGGCATGAGTAAGTGGTAGAATGGGGATTTGAACCAAGGAATTGTGACTTTAGATCCTTGCTCTCAGCCATTAACTACACAGCCTAGTACTGTAGGTCATTATGCATTGCAATTTACCCATCTTATTTATATTTTACAATTTTAAAAAGACTATTTGCTAATTGCTACAATACCACATTAACCTAATGATAGCAATTTTGTTTCCTGCATAGTGATGGGACATCCCCAAGTTCTTCAAGATTGTATCTTTTATGGCATAGGTCTACACATTATAGGGAGAGTTCTAATATTGTAGGATTTGCAAATCAGGTATGAAAAATATTCCTCGATCTAATTACAAATGGAAAAATGGGCAAGAACTCTTAGATGTCCAGGTGGAGAGTGCTGTAAAGAAACAAGTTTTGTGGGAACATGAATGTAAGTTAAGTCTGCTTTTCTACCTAATAATTTTAGATGGGAGAAAGGCAGGCTTCAAGATTGAGGATGAAAGTTGAGGTTACTAAAGTTTAGAGATAAGTGAAGTCCAAGGAGGTCATTCTAGATTTTGTGGCCAGCATCTGAGAAGTAACCACCACTTGTTCAGAATAAACAAAGATAACTGGTATTTTTGGAATGTTAGGAACCAGCTAAATCAACATCAAATAAGGTCAGAAGTATGTGAGATGCTGAAGATAGAGGGAGAACTTTGGGGAAGGTGTTTTTTTCTTTTTTTTTTAAGAGAGAGTCTTGCTTTCTGGCCAGGCTAGAATGAGTGCCATGGCATCAGCCTAGCTCACAGCAACCTCAAACTCCTGGGCTCAAGCGATCCTACTGCCTCAGCCTCCCGAGTAGCTGGAACCATAGGCATGCACCACCATGACCATGCTCAGCTGATTTTTCTCTACATATTGGTTGCCCAATTAATTTCTTTCTATTTATAGTAGAAACGAGGTCTTGCTCTTGCTCAGGCTGGTTTCGAACTCCTGACCTTGAGCAATCCGCCCACCTTGGCCTCCCAGAGTGCTAGGATTATAGGCGTGAGCCACTGTGCCCGGCCTTGGGAAAGTTTTAATTGTGTTCTGAAATCTGGGACTTCGAGGTTCCTGACACCATTTGGTGAATTCCATTGGAAAGGTGAATTGACTGAGGGGCGAGAACTATGGGATTGCTTATCTCTGGATCCTAGTAATAATACCTTATCAGCGTCCCAGGCTCTAAATCCAATTTAGTGAAGTAGTGGAGAGATGATTGTTGTCTTAAGTGCTCATGGTGGGCATCATTGAGAAATTAGTCATCAAGATTAGGGTGTCACACGTGACTAGAGAATTGAGCCATATCCTTTGGTTGAACATTAGTCACCTTCCACTTTAGCATTTAACATTTTAAGCAATACAAATGCCTGAGTCCCTTTCTCAAAGAGTCTCATTCAGTGGGTTTGGAGTGGGTCCTGGGAAGAGGTATTTAAAAAGCACTCCAGGTATTCTAGTGCATAGAACCACTAATCTGCTCCACTAATCTTTTGATATTGCTGAACTCATTGATTTTAAACTCTTCTGGTGGCAGTTACTGTGTCTTAGATATCTATACACCAACCTGTCATTAAGCAACTGTTCCTGTACTCCTACCCTGAATGAATTCTTCTCATAGCAGCTACTTAAATAATTGATTAACATGAACATTCATTTTATATAAGCAGTTGTCCCTTGGTGTCCATGGGGGATTGGTTCCAGGACTTCCCTCAGATACTTTCTGCTCAAGTCCTTGATATAAAATGGCATAGTATTTGCATATAACCTACATACATCTTCCTAGATACTTTATATCATTTCTAGATTATTTATAATACCTAATACAAAGTAGATGCTATGTAAATAGTTGTTATACTGTATTGTTTCAGCAATACAAGAAAAAGTCTGTGTTCAGGATATATGCAATTATCTTTCCAAATATTTTTGATGTGTGGTTGGTTTTAACCATGGATGCAGAACCTATGGATTCAGAGGGCCAACGAAAGTGGCGAGTGTGTCTATGGTGAGGATGAAGTGAATAAGGGAAAGACTTATTTAGTAATGAGGATGTATAGTGGGTTCAGGGGTTCAAATGAAATGAGGTAATAACATTGAGCCCATGGGATAGTGGGCATGTTGGAATTGAAAAAGGCCAACTTGTGGATCTGACTGTATATATAAGTATACTTTTTTTTTTAAGCAAAGACACCTTTGATAGACTTTTCTAAATGAATCTTTTCCGTATTCAGGTATTTTGAATAATTTGTTTTACAAGTTGAGACAGCTTCTCAGAACTGGTAGTCTGGTAAGACTATAACAACTCTATTCCCTGATTAATTGTGGGATCAGAATCTGAGAACTTGTACAGTAGCAAGAATCTGGTATGATAATGTATGGGAGTAGCATGAAGAAATAGGCTAGAACTCTTAAATTTCTGAACTTCTCAGCTTTTGATGGCTTGTTACGGAAGTAGATTTTAAGATTCTTGTATACAAAAACCAGCCCAGACTGGTTTCCTAAAATGCTTTCCAATTTATTGGGCACTGACTGACTTGAGTGCTGTATTTCCTCTCCAG